AAATTTATAATAATAAGATAGCGATAAAGCGCGTTTATAAGATAAATTAATTTCGCTAAAAGTTTAATTTATTAATAATTTTAATACTAATTAGAATTTAATGATTTTTTAAAAATTTAATAATAAAAGAGTTAGTTTAAATTATGAAGTCTAAATTTAAAATTAATTTAAATATTAAATTTAAGTAATTATTAGAAATATCTAAAATTAAAATAAATAAATATCGATTTAAGAGATTATCTCTCTATTTTTATAGATATTATAGCGAAGACTATTAAGATAATAATTATTAAGAAAATAATTAAAAGATTATAAAGATTAATTTAAAAAAAAAATTAATAAAAAGAATAATAATAATAAAAACTATAATAAGAGAGAAGAGGAAGATCTTAATATTTATAATCTCGAGACTTATATAGCTTTAAAAACTTTAATAAAAAAGAAAAATTAGAGGGAATTCTTCTAAAGCTTCTAACTAATAATCGAGATTCGTTTAAAAAAAACTTTATTATTATATTAGCTATAAGAATATCTTTAAATATTATATTAAACCCTCGATATTATTTATAAATATTTTTTAAAAATATTAATAATTTAAATTTCGCTTTAACGTTAATTATAAATATAGAATTAAAAAATAATAATAAACGTAATATAATATTTAAGAAGTTTTTTAGTACTATAAATAATTATTATAATAAAAATAAATAAATTTATAATTTTTATATAAACTTTAACTCTAGAGTATTTTTAGTATTTAATTAATATCGTTTAAAACTTTTTAATTAGAATAAAGTCTATTTTATATCTAATAAGAGAAGACTTTATTATAAAAGAGTAGAAACTAATATATTACTATTACGAGATTATATATTTTTCTTTATTAATATATATATAGTAATTAGAGAAAAAGTAATAATCTTAAAAGAATTTTATATTATATTTAATTTATTTTATAATATAATTATTAATATTAATATTTTAAAATAAAATAAAATAAAATAAATATTTAATAAAAAAAACTTAACTTTATTATTATTAAAGATAAAAATAAAATTTCTATTTAGATAACTCGAAAAATTTTAAGAATTAAGATTAAGATTCTAGAGTTATTATTTATATCTATACTATTAATAAGAATAAAAATCTTATAAATATTAAAATATAAAAAGATTAATATTTATATAATATTAATTATAATTTTTTAATTAAATATAAATTAAAATATTTCTATTTAATATCGACCTCTAATATCGAGAATACTCTTATCTATTTAAATTTATTTTTATTATTAATTTTTAGCTTAAAATCTTTATTTTAAATATTTAAATTATAATTAATAATAATTCTTAAGCTATTTCTATAGTTAACTTTAGAGAATAGTTTATTAAAGTTTATAAAGATTAATTATTAGAAAGATTATCTATTTTTTAAAACTTAATTAAATTTATAGAAATAAATTTTTATTTTATTAATATCTTTACGAGAAAGTTTAAAAAGAAATCGAATATATTATATATTATAGATTTTTTAAAAGAAGTTATAATATTATAAATAGATATTTCTAAATATTAGAAATTAGAATATAAGAAATAAATTAAAAAGATATTTAAAAAATATTAATTACTATTCCGGTTTAATCTAAGACGTTTTAATAATAAAATCGAAATATTAATATCTTTTAAAATAAAATTAAATTTATTAGATTTAAATAAAATCTTTATAATTTATCTTAGTAAGATCGCTAAATTATAGATTTTATTTTAAACCTACTAATAAAATAAGATTACGTCGAGAAGATACCTCTAGAAATTCCTTTAATTACCTTTTTATCGATTTTTATAATATAAAAAAATAATAAATCTCGAGTTATCGATTTAAGAAAGATAAATATTAAATTATATCTCGACGTCTATTCGCTTTTTAAGTAGAATATTATATTAAAAGTATTAAGCGAATTAATAATTGTTGAAAGTAGGATATTAGACATATTAGAAAAGAATAATTGTTACTAAAAGACTGATTATTGATTTATGGAATATACGAATATTTATATATATAAAATAGATGGCTGATGGTGGCTAGTAATTACTAGCCCTGATAATACGCGATATATATGCGATAGCCGAAGGGGCTAGTATTATAATACTCCCCGACAGCCTTAGAAGCTAAACCCCAGCACATCGTATTTCATATGTATTAGTTTTTCAAATCCACGCTTTGTATTCGGGATTGATTATTTGCCTGGCCTCGTTAAATCTATAAAAAACCCCGATAGGGAAAATAGAAAGAGTGCCGGGGCTTTTGAATACCCGTTTCGGGACCTCGGAATGATATGAGGGTTTTTGATGTTTTGCCCGTATTGTTTCGGGACCTCGGAATGATATGAGGGTTTTTGATGTTTTGCCCGTGTTGTTTTGGGACCTCGGAATGATCTGAGGGTTTTTGATGGTTTGCCCGTATTATTTCGGGACCTCGGATGAAATGAGGGTTTTTGATGTTTTGCCCGTGTTGTTTCGGGGTTTTGATGGTTTGCCCGTATTGTTTCGGGACCTCGGATGAAATGAGGGTTTTTGATGTTTTGCCCGTGTTGTTTCGGGACCTCGGAATGATCTGAGGGTTTTTGATGGTTTGCCCGTATTGTTTCGGGGTTTTGATTTTTTGCCCGTATTGTTTCGGGACCTCGGATGAAATAAGGATTTTAGTTCGATATTTTTTGTGTAGGGATTGAATGGCGATAGCCCTCTCGTCGGTGGGTACGAGCCAAAAAAATGGGCTATCGTTATAGGGTGTATCTATTTATAAACGATCACCTGAAGACTTAGTTTGATATCTCTTAGAAAGTGTAAGGATATTTTGATACTGCCCTGCCCGCTTCCGGGCTCATAACCTGTTGAAAGTAGGATACCAGACATGTTAGAAATTGAATGATTGTTACTGAAAGACTGATTATTGATTTATGGGATATACGGATATTTATATACATAAAATAGGTGGCTGATAATGGCTGGTAATTACTAGCCCTAGTAATACGCGACATATATGCGATAGCCGAAGGGGCTGGTATTGTAATAATAATCTTCTTATTCATTAATATAATTAAAGAGTTCTTTTAATAACTTATTAAATCGTTAAATTAATAAAAAATTATTTTTATTAATTCTTATTAAAAGTAAGAATAATTAAAAATCTCTATTATAGATCTTATAAATTTTTTAAATTTTTTCTAATATCGAATAAAAAGACTTCTCGCTTTATATCTTTAATAATTTATTCTAGTCTATATTAATAATATTATTATTTTTTTAATATTTCTTAATAATTATATTAAATATCTCGATTAGATATTAGATTTACTAGAAAAAAATAAGATAACTCTCTTACTCTTTAAGTGTTATTTTACTTATTTACGTATTATCGCTTTAAAATATTATATTTCTAAACTTAATCTTAATATTATAAAAGAAAAAATCGAAATAATTCGAAAAATAATCTTTTCGAGAAATCTTAGATAGCTAAAAATTAATTTAAGTTTCTTTAATTATTATTATAAATTTATAGAATATTATATAACTATCGCTAGATTTTTAATTAAATTTAAAATTAAAAGTTTTAAAAGAAGCTTTAATAAGAATAAATCTCGATAAAATTATATAAAGAAGAAATAACTTTAATTAATATTAATTTAGGTTTTATAAAAATAGCTAAAGCTTTTAAATTAAATAAACTTATTATTAAAGAAGTAAATTTATAAATTAATTTAAAATATTATAAAATCTAAAAGATATTAAAAAATAAACTATATAATATATTAATACTCGTTTTCTTAAATTTTAATTAATTATTTATATTATATATTAATAATAGTAAAAAGAAAGATTACGAGATAATACTATATTAAATTAATATTAATAAAATTAAATAATTAATTTTATTTCTATTACGCGATTTTAGTAATATTAAGATTTAATATTAAATTATAAAATTAAAAATTAATACTCTAATTTAAATATTGATTAAACTTTTCTAATTTTTTAATAATAGAGATTTTATAATAATTACTAATTATATTATTTTAAAATCTATTTTTTAAAATAAAATTAATAATCGTTAATTCGCTTAATTAAATAAATAAGCTTTATATTTATTAACTTTTTAATTTAAAATAAAATTTATATATAAAATTTAAAGAACTTATAATAATATTAATAAATTATCTCGATTTTTTATTAAAGACTTATCTATAAAAGAAATATTAATAATAAATTTAGATATAATTAATATTTTTTCTATAGTAATAGTATAAGTTAAAAAAATTCCTTAATAAAATTTCTATAACTTTATCTAATAATTTATACTTTAATTATATCTATAAATAAATCTAAAAGTAAATAAAGAAGATTAAAGATTTAGAATTTAGCTTATAAATTATCTATTAATTCTATTATCTCGATATTAATTTAGAATTACTATCTAGGCCTCTCGCGTAGATCTAAACCTGTTAATCAACGGTTATATAACGGTTCAACAACTATTTAAGACATGTAACCGTTAGCCAACGGTCAATTAGCGGTCAATCAACGGTTGAAAAACAAGCACAAAGTTCCATGATTTCTCAACCATAACCTATCAGTCATTCAATGGTTAATTACCAGGTTTAATATCAAAGTTGATAAAGTACTTCTTGAAGCTATTCGCAACTATGAACAGCATAGTGCAGTATCTATAGATGATGTAGTCTATCGAAGCCTTTGGCATACATGATCATGCTCTATGCAGACTAAAGCTATGGTGCTCTCTGTATGTAATGCCTTGCTGCGTCCTCCTGCAAAGCCTCAAGTCAGTGTCAAAATATGTAGTATTGCGCTGGGGAACGAACACATACCAATTGAAGCCATAGGTGAAGCAATAGGTAGTGAAGCCATAGGTAGTGAAGCCATAGGTAGTGGAGCCATAGGTAGTGGAGCCATATGTAGGTTGCTGAAGCCTTCGGCACACCATCACCAACCGCTATTACCATCTTCTCCACCATCAGAGACCATTTCACCGTCCTCCTCATCGCCGTCGACATCTGATACCTGGTCCTCGCCTACATCAACATCAGATTCTCCTGTAGTTGCGTCCGAGTCCTGATTAATGTCGACCTTCGGGCGTTTCTTGTACTGCACGCTGCGGGGTATTATACGCTCAGGATAGAAATCGAGCGACTGATGTTCGAATCCAGTCTTCTGATGGAGAGCGTCAAACAGGTCTAGGAGGTGCTTGCGTGTGTACTTTGCCAGCAATGGATTGATCGGATCCTCAAGGTGTAGCTCCGTCAAGCGGGAATGCGTGACAAGCTGCAGAAAGGCATCTAGGTAGTAGAACAATTAGTCATTGCATTTGCAGCAGGCTTCGGCAGACCCATGAACAGGCATGGCAGGGGACTTACATTTGAGGAATCTCAGCCCATCTTCGGTAATCACCTCGAAATCCACTGCTTCAATTCCAAATCTGAACACACTCTCCAGCCATTTGGAATCGTACTCCTTGCGGACCTCCGCCTTGATACCCGCAAACGTCGATAATTCCGAGCGCAGCGCTTGACGCTTCAGACCTGTAGCACTCTTGATCCATCGCTGTATCCACTGTAGCGCCCACTTGAGGACCTCACCTTTCCATGTCTTGTACGAACGTTGGACACGATACTTAGCCTCCCTGTATACTTGATGATCACTCCTCATACCTGGGAAGATAGCCCGAACGGGTTCGTCTGCGTAAGTATTTGACAGGAAGGTAAGAAAATAGCGCCTGGTCAACAGGTTCAACTGGGAGAAGGCCTCTGCTTCAGACTTTGACGAGTGTGTAGGGTCTTTGGTCCTCCTTTTCATAGTGCTGAACTGGCTTACAACAGCATCGTGTCCGTTCGTCTGACTCTGCGAATTGCTCCCAGGCATCAACGTTGCCGTCGAATTACTTCGACTTCTCTCCTCCCCATCGAGAGTCTCATCGTCCCCTACACTCACGGCGTGCCGTGCATTTCCTGCTGAAACCTTCAAAGTCGTATTTGTAGGCTTGATGGTAGGAGGCTTGGTGGCAGCCGTAGCAGGCTTCGTGCGTGGGGGTTTGGAAGCCTCCGGCATGGGCTGCGTGGCAGCTGTGGCAGGCTTCGGGCGTGGGGTCTTTGAAGCCTCCGGCATGGGCTGTGTGGCAGCTGTGGGAGGCTTCGGGCGTGGGGTCTTTGAAGCCTCCGGCATGGGCTGTGTGGCAGCTGTGGGAGGCTTCGTGCGTGAATGCTTGGAAGCCTGCGGCATGGCCTGGGTGCTGGACTTCTTGGCCTGGGAAAATTGTTAGCTCAGAGCTGTGGAAGTGTCAGGTAACGTATTACTTTAGCAGGGCTGCTACATGGAGACGCATCGTTGACCTCTTCTGCGTCCGACTCGTCAAGAGATCGTTTACGTCGACGTCCATTATGTTGAGACATGGTCCTCGCCAGCTCGTCCCTAGACTCGCTGTTCTGGATAAGAGGTCTCTCGGGTGTGGTATTGCGTGTCCTGGATCTAGGCTTGGGCTGCTGAGAGCCTGATACCTGTGATCCACGCTGGGTAGCCGGTTTACCTACCATTATGGAAGCAATCGATGAAATATTCCTGCAGCTATGATAATTGGAGAAGAGAGGAACTTAGGCGAATCATATATCTCGTTGTGGAAGGAGCTGTCTGAAGTATCTCCAGGCTAAATTAAGTATCCGCGGCAGACTTTGGCGCCAAAACTTACCTAATCTCTCCATCTCCCTCGTAGAATAAATACACCTTCGTGCCCTCTTCAATTCTCGCAGTCCTGACCGCAACTCAAGAAAAACGAGCAGGCCAACAAACGACAATATGCTTGGAGATGTGGGTCTCGCTGCAGAAGGCTGCTGCAGAGCAGTCTATCGGTTAGACCAGGTACCATCACGAAATCATGAAAGTACGACTGCGAGCCTCTCTCTGTATACATGGGGCGAGAGTTGTCACTCATTTGCGCGTTGCTTAATTTCTGCATCTACCTTAGTCATAAATTCACTCTTTATGAGGAAGGTGCAAAATAAATTCCATCAGTTCTTGAAACCTCAATTCACGAGTCCTTGACCACCTCACTTCAACATCATCACCACAACTCGCCCTGCACGAGGCTGCAACCTAGTCTGACCGAAGTCTTACGCAGATAGATAGACACTCTGTAAGTTAACCCGCCTATCCTATTATTCTATGTCTAAAGCCTCCTGCAGTCACGATGGTGTTCTCATTGATCGGAGTTCGCGAGGAAGAGCTGGCTTTCCGCAAGCACGAAGATCTTCGTGCAGAACTAGGATTCGTGGACATGAATGAAATGAAACGCTTCGTTAAAAGTGATCGATTCAGACCGTACTTCGAAACCTACGCTTATGCCTGGATACTACCGCAACAAAAAGCCGTGAAACATGTGGGCACGTCTCGTGGACGAGGGCCACAATTCATCACAGTCGAGGAGCGCATGCTTGTTGGGGAGCGGTCAGGGTCTGACAAGTTTTCAACTCCATACCCTGACAAATCTAATTGGGATCAAATGGACCATTGTGCCTACGCAATGTACGGCATTTGTCGCGCCAACACCAAGAGTGCTTCGGGATTGTTCTTCAACAAAGGACTTTCGCCGGCGCAAATCAACCTGAGAGTTTGGTTGCTCATTAAATATGAGGAGTACAATTGGGCCCCCTCTAGACGCCTCCCACCAGGAGGTACGCGAGACCCTTCCGCAGAGAGTGAGCCAGAGCGTTCAGTAAGCACCCAGCTGCTGCAGCCTTCAGCGAGCACTCTGCAACAGGCCAGCAACACACCGCAGCCTCCGACTCCGAATCTGCCAGATCGTTCGGTAGGTGCTCGTTCGGTAGGTGTCTTCAGAAAGCACCCTTTCGCAGACATGCTAACCCCGAGCAGGGCAGTGTACCACCGCAGCCTCCTACAACCCCTCCCCGACTCACTCCTCCACCGCCTCCGTCTCCTGAGGATGAGCGGCTCGCCCGAATTAGGCTTGCCACTAACTTCCCATCGAGTGCTGCTCACAATCAAGAGATAATACAACCCGACAAGTGGGTGGAAGTTGTACAGTCAAATAACCAGAAGCTTGAGTTCGATCGTGATGTTGACGAGGAGAACAAAGATAGCATTGAGACTGAGATTTTGACAAACGCTCAAATAATGGCGATCGAGAATGGAGCTAGGAAGTTTGATATCAAGGAGCGGTTTTGGAAAGCATGGCTTATCGACGAGTTGATTCGAAAGGGTAATGATGTGAGGGCTTTCAAGGAAAGTCTTGAACTAGCTGGACAAATTACTACTCGCATTGCAGATCATGATCAGAAGGCCTGGTTTGACAAAGTCACGCGTGATCAGGGAATAGACACTATTCAGTATCAGCCGTGGGATGATGCAGCAGCGGCGGAATTTGACGCGCAGCAGTCATACTTCGACAGTGAAGACTACCAGCGGGAAGATCTCGAGGACTCGTGCCGTCTACTTCACATACCTTGGTACGGTGACAAGACTATCTTCCGCATGCCTGGTATGAACCTATCTCAACAGCTCAAGTTTTGGCAGCCAGTAGCCGTGAAGGCGATCATTGAGTTTTGTCTACAGCCTCACTTGCGGGCCTGCTTTCTAGCAGACTACACCGGCCTGGGGAAAACATGGATTATTGTTAGCTATCTCTTATGGGTAAGCCCCTTTCTATTAATATGCATGCCCTGCCACAGGCTTCCTGCCACAGGCTTCCCGCCACAGGCTTCCCGCCACAGGCTTCCGCAGACAGGCTTCCGCTGCAGGCTTTCGCTGACTGTTGATCTAGCTCCAGAAATTCCGTGAGGATATTCCTGCCAAGGACCGACCCCTTGCGAAACCAATCCTTATCCTAATGCCCAAAGCTCTCATATCGCAGTGGATCAAAGCTATTGACCTCATCGCCCCAAACGCCTTCGAAGTATACAAGTACCATGGAGATACTCGACGTTCGAAGCCTATCGCAAATGAGCGCACGGTCATGGGAACTCTCCATCACGCACACGAGCTGTTCGATGGAAAGGAGCAGCGTTCCAGAGCCATAATCATAAGCAGCTACACGACATTCGCGGTTCGCCATGGTCCCGCAGCTATTCGAAAGCACCGGATCAACAAGTTGGCCATGTCGAAGACGGAGGCTGACAAGATTCGCTTTCAAGCAGACGCTCTTTGGGAAGGAAGCTTGGAAAATTGCTTTGACTTGGTGGTCAACGACGAATGCCACCTATTGAAATCTCTCTCTGCCGATGTCTCCAATTCGGTGTTGTGGTTGAATGCTTTGCGCTACATCATGATCAGCGCCACCCTCATCCCTAATGGCATCAGTGACTGGTTGGGCTATATGCCCTTTGCCGAACCATTTGACGCTGACGAGTGGTGGTCGGAGAGATCACTTGCGGAGATGCGCTTTAGGGATGACGAAGATCCGTTCTCCGTTCCTGACGAGCATGTAGCAGCTAAGCTGCAGCTTACCGTTCGCGCTGTGAAGGATTGGATTCTTACTCACCGAATAGATCCTGCCGAGCAAGGTTTCCGAATGGCCAAGATGTGGAAAAAGCTAGTGATTCGCCGCACCCCACAGAGTCGAATTCCTTTCGGAACAGGTCGTAAGATCGCTGATTCTCTACCGCGTGTCAAAGCTGCTATCATCAATTGTTCATTCAATGAGGAAGAGCGAGGGTGGTACATTGAATCCGAGAAGAAACTTACTGGCCAGCTCCTTGTCCCTGGAGAAGGGACAAAACCGGCAAAGTGGTCGCTGGCGGTACAGCGCAAGTTACTATTGTTGACGACATGGATCAGTCTCCCTAATCTAGATGAGATCCAGAACCTGAAGTCAACTAACATGAAGAGAACTTTTGATGAGGAGCGTTTCTTTCTCGAGTGGTTTACGGCTCACACAAAACCGAGTATGGAGAACCCGGGCCCATTGCTCCAGGAATTGCTTGAGGGTGCGCCGAAGCTACGTGCTCTACTTCGCAATGTTCGCAGCCAGGTATGTACATGCTTTGCTGTTTCTATGGGTGTGCGACAGGCTTCCTGCCACAGGCTTCCGCAGCAGCCTCCCACAGATGTCTCTCTACAGCAGCCTTCCGCAAATGCTAATTTCGCCGTAGGTTGTGAGAGACCAGGAGAAGATCCTGATCTTCTGTCAATTACCGGCTGTCACGGTACTCCTCGTCGCAATCTTCCGACTTCTCGCGATCGATTGTGTAACCCTCGGTGCCTACCAGCAGGCAGAAGAGCGCGATGCTGTTATCACGGCGTTCACTGAGTGTACCGATCGGGCTCAGATTCTGATCACGACATACGCGGTGGGGTCGACTGGTCTGAACCTACAACAGATGTGTTGGAGAGTTCACATGGTCGAGTGTGCGCACAATTTGGGTGTCCAGGCCCAAGCCCTCGGACGCGCGGTACGTGTGGGAAACCCGAGCGCGGTGGTATGGATGTATGAATACTACGTCGCTGGTAGTTTTGACAGTCGAATGATCTGGAGAAATATTGAGAAGGCTATACCGCAGGCAATGGCGGAGTTGAATCGACAGATCTTCAACGGCGGAGATGATGCAGGAGACGTCACCGTCGATCTCGGAGAATGGGTGTTTAAGGAGGGGGAGATGGTAAGATACGATCGAATTGAATGGAATGAGTGGGATAGGCCTCACATCTTGTCACCACACGAGGTGCTTCAGTATATCCTGTTGCAGCGAAAGGGCGAGGAAATCCTCCTTTAGGTATGCCAAACCCTGCTGCTGAAAGCTTCTATCCTACTGATTTCTCTATCTACAGGTGATATGCGGAAGCCTGCGGCATGAAGCCTGTGGCAGGAAGTGTGCTGCGGCGGCATCTTTGACCGAAGATATGGCAACTACTTGATCATGGCATGTCTTTGAAGCTTCTGGCAGAGAGGCCCTTCTTTCCTTTCTACGACCTACATTATAGTGATTGCAACCTGTGCGCCCTAGTGGCAGTTGGAGACTACTACGGTAGTCTTCAGAGGGAGAGTCGACAACTCCAGTACAGGTTGCATCAAATTCTTGCTGTATGTATATATGGCGGCCGCAGGGACGTAAGTCCAACCAGAACTTTTCATACTCGCAAATCCATTGATCAAGTCCGAGAAATCTGCACCGAAAATGCAATGCGCACTATCCAGCACTGCACCTAAGAAGCTCAGTGACTCATATAGCCCACCTAGGCTAACAACCGACGTTTCTATTATAACTGAATGTCTGATTAAGGATTGTGAACTTGAATTATATACCATTGCCGATAGCCCATCGAGATGCGCTAAGGCTTACTTACAGAGTTCATGCGGCTCTCCGATAAGGTTACGCTTCCAATTCTGTAGTCTCCACTCTCCCCCTCGTCCGAAGTCTTTTGGCAGGTCCATATTTGTCCAGAATTGCCCATTGAGAATCATCCTATTGGTTCCCCATTGAAGAATGACATCCCGACCTCGCAAGATAAATCAACTGCGAGTACTCAACTGGAACACTAACGATAATGATCGGTCTTCATCACCTCCGAGTCCGAACCTTACCTATCACACCCGCGACGATGTGACCGATAACGAGACACCTGCTAGCTTTCCCGATGACCTTCCCCCTGCCGGTGACCTTCCTCCTACCGATGACTTTGCCCCTTCAAATGACTTTCCTGCTGGGCATTTCCAAGATGACCAAGATTCCTTTAGACAGCCTGATGAAGGCTTCCGCAGTGAGACACTTTCACCCGCAGCCTCTAGCGATTCCTTTAGGCAGCCTGATGAAGGCTTCCGCAATGAGACACTTTCACCCGCAGCCTTTAGCAACAACGAGAGCAATGAGCAGATGGGTGACGATATGAGCATCGATTCACCATCTCACGATTCCGACGGAGAGGTGCACGGGCAGGGGCAGGCATACACAGCTACAGACAGTGACGGGGATTCAGGCGGTGAAGATGATGAAGATCTATTCATTGTATTTGATTCCCCAAGATGCAGTGTCGTCGTACTGATCATCGCACAGCCCATCGGAGAAGTCAGCAGAGTACCTCAAGAATCTCGACCACTTACCTTCCTTGAACTGCTTGAAGACCTTAACGCCTCCAGCGATGAGGATGAACAACCAGCTTCTCCATCACCAAGTCCAGAACCGCAGGACCTAGAGCGGACACCCTTACCAGTCCTTTCCCATCAAGCTCAATCACCGGCTCCCTCCCCAACTCCGTCATTTGAAATAATTGTCCAGCAAGGTGGGAAAGACACCCTACCTCCACCACTACATCTGGCATTAGGCCTATGGTTCGAGAAGTCGGGTGGGTCGCGGGCAGACTACGTAAGACTGCGAGAGGTTTTCCAGCTGTCGAAGCCTTCAGCAGCAGGGAGCTCCATGGTTGAGGAAGGGAATGAGGACTCGGAACTAGACATGCATACCCTCCCGTTGAAGCTAGATACACTGAAGCGGCAGATTCGTCGACATATTCCCTTATTGCAACTGTTACGGAAGCCTCTCACAGTCATGATCGAGAAACAGCCATCACTGCCGCAACGAGAGAAGGGTATGCAACGACAAAGCATTGAACGTCAAGCATGGCAATATTGGTATGAACCCTTGGACCTTATACGCACCATACTATCAGCGACATATCTACGCGAAAAAATGTTCTTCGGGATGGCACAGTATGTGGATGAGCCGACAGAGCTTTGGCAGTCACATGCATGGGGATCTTCCATTCGGTCAACGTCAGGGGAAGTTTGTCATACCCAGAAAAGGGCACTTATCATTCCTGGGGATCTAGTGCGAATCCGTTCATCTCCATATCGTATCGGACGTGTGATATTCATTGGTCGCGATTATCGACAAGGCGCAACAGGACACATTGTCATAACATTGCAGGCAGTTGCAGACCATGGAGCATCTATTCTCGACAGCTTCGACTTGAATCTAGATAATGAGCATGAGCTCTTTCTTATAGAGGATGTTTTGCTAGAGCAGACTCCGCAATCTATCACCCGACATCTTGATATCTATTATGATCGTGACTTTGGAGGAGATGAAGAAGAGGTTGTCTATCCAGACGATCGTCGCTTCATTCGAAGGGTTCTCAATTTCAATTCGTCTACTATACGGCCTCTGCGTCAATTACATCCGACCCGTGGCGAGCTCGAGATAGCACATTTTGGTCGTGATTATCTCGAAGCCGTTGTCGCAAAATCTCCTATCAGTTTTCCCTACCTCCTCTTTGTTGATGATTTCGGTATTCACAGAAATATGTACCGTGCACTTAAAGCATTTTATCTTATCCCGGCATGTCTAGACTACGCGGAGCGTAGAAAACTTGCGAATGTGTTTACTCTATCCTTGGGACCTCATGGTGCCAACATCAAGGACGTGGTGGAAGCCTTCCGCAAACCCATACAGGATCTGGACCGTGGGATAGAGCTTGAAGTCAATGGCGTTACGGACATATTTTGGGCTTTCGCCTTGACATTTCTTGGGGATATGCCCCAGCAGGCAGACAATGGTGGCTTCATGAGGCATACCGCTACTATGGGCTGTCGCACTTGCTATTGCTCGAAAGATGAGAGGGCGAATTTGGATTTTGATATCGTAGGGAACGGCAGGTATCATTGGGAGACTACTCAACAACGCGAATTTGCTGGAGATCTCGACGGTGCCGAACTCAAGGAGTTCATTCAGGATACCGGTATACGACTCGATGCCCCCCCAATCGCGAAGCTGGCGCCATCCTTGGATCTCATTCAGTCTAGAGCCTATGACGCTCCCCACTCGGAGTGGAGAGGTTTGGGGAGGATTCTCCAGGGATTCTTGATGACTACGATTCTCACCAAGCGTAAATCTACTACCTATCTCAAGGCATTTTAGAAGTTCTACTTCCCTTCTGAGTGAAAGCGTATTTAAAGCCCGACATTCTATATTTAGTTATAGTTACTTTCGGAGGCAGGTAAAGCTACTCTACTGGCGCCACTGATTCTACGTAGCAAAGCAACAATCGGATGGATCCGTCTCCCGTTCCTACAGGCTGCGGAAAAAGTCATGACCTTCGAAACAACGCCACTCCAGGCTATCGTGCGGGCGTTCGGACTTATTGCTCGATCTAATACCGTTGTTGGTAGTCAAAGGTATACTGAGCCAACCATACTACATCAACAGATTCTGGATGCGCGCAAGGCTTACCAGGAGCTAATCACATGTGCGACGCCCGCTGCGGGAGGCTTCGGTAACCCTGGTGAGGATGAGGATGATTCCGAAGATGGAACCGCCCTGGAGGAAGTCCTTTCGGACGCAGCGCACAGTGACTCGGAAACAGAAGTGCTACAGCATATGCCGAAGCCTAAGCCAGCCAAGGCCAAGGGAAAGGGAAAGGGAAAGGGCAAGGAACGAAGGAAACCTCGTGGTAATAAATTCGAGAAGCTTCTCAAGCTTCCGAATGTTCACGCAGGCCTTCATCTTGCAGATAATGCCAGGGAGTATGCGACAGTCATGAATTCGAATGTTTTGGCGGGAGAATTGAAGCACAAGTTGTTTACACCGTTTTCCCCGCAATCGCAGTCACTGACAGTCGCTCCCAGGGTCTTCAAAGGCATGGCAGACGCTGCGGCGCCACCAAACTTGATGGGTTATCTATTCGCAAAGGACGTGATGCGGCAGTCATTGCGACTGGGCTTGGTAGGTGCTTGGGATCATGACCATCCAGATATGGTGGAAGCACTTAGATTGCTTAATGACCAGTGTGCGACGTTGGTACAGAGCTTTCTTCCAATCGGTGAGCAAGATCTAGATGAGGGTTATGCGGAAGGCTTCCACAGCGTTATGGGAGATGACGAGCACTGCTCTACGCAGGTCTCGCTCAGGGGGTTTGTACTTGATGGATTCTTTCGCATCAAGGCGACGACCAATCTAATGAGACTTGACCCACAGCATAGCTTTATTCAGCACTTCATGGCCGCCTACAGGAACGAGTATAGTCTTAATGTGTTGGACTTTGGTACAGCTGCTTTGAAATGGTATCGCAGGATTGCCTACACAGATCCGTGAGTGTAGCGCAGCGTATGCTCCTTGGATAGGCTGACGGAGCCTTCCCCAGGGCCAATCGGAGACATGTGTACAGTGTCAATGACTATGTGCAGGTTGGCACCAGAAAGGGTCAACTGCTACAATGTTTTGCGCACACCTATCGCCGGAAGAAATACGCTTTTCTTGTCGTGCATGTCATGACAGAGCTGCGTCAAGGCGATCTGGGAAATGTTGGAGATGATCCAGTGCTGGATACAGTGCTGGACCTTCCAGTGTACAGGCGACAGGCAAATCAGTATGTGTACGGATTGCCAGCCCTACATCATGATACCATTTACATGATCGACGTTCCCAACGAACCAGACTGGCCAGATGAGTCGCATTATTTAGAATGCACATGGGGAGTGGCATACTTGTGAGAGCTCGACAGGTGGGCTTGCTTACATTGCTGAAGGCTTCGGCGGAGTGCCATGTACTTGTGTATGTATAAGAGCGAACGAGTCACTAATTATCTATAGTGAGAGAGACTGCAAGAGGCTGCAATACTGATATACGGTGAAGACACTGCGGTAGGCTGCGTAATTATGATTAAGGTAGTTACATAAGGGTAGAGGCGGTTGTTCGCCTATCAAATAACCGCCTCTATTCGTTTTTTAATAGGCGAATAACCAAAAACGTTATTGAGGTTGTTCAACCAACTAAAGACCTCTTCCCTTAGAACCCACTACGATTATAGTTTTACAACCGTTCTACAACCGTTTTATAATGGTTATAATAATTTTTATTTTTATTTTTTTTACTAAGTCTCGAATAGGCTAGTAGTATTATATGATATATCTTCTAATATAAAAATTTCGCTAAAATTCGAAAAAAACGAATTTTAAGTTGTTAGCGTTGATATTTAAGCTTATATATACTAAGCGAATTTTCAGCCCTATAAAGAACTTTAAAATTAAAATTTATTTTTAGTTATTATATAGATTATTTATAGTTCTATAAGAATCGTATAACCGTTCTACAACGGTTTTACAACCGTTCGACAACCGTTCGACAACTGTTACGTGACCGTCACGTGACCGTCACATGACCGTTGAACAACCGATGTGAAATTATGAGTTAGGATAATTCTTCTAACGAGTATGAATTGAGTTTCGTATCGGTTGTATATCGGTGATACATCGGTTGTTTATCGGTTATTAGTTATAGAACCGTTGTATAACGGTAATATATCTTTAGTAATGGCCAGGACAGTAATATTAAAAAATAAGAAAGATATAATAGAGATTTAGATAATAATATATTTCGATTAGATCTATAGATTTTAAAGAATTCTCTATAAATTAATCTTTAATTAAGACTTTAAATTTATTAATATATTCTAAAAAACGTTATTCTTAAAATATAAGATAATACTTAAAATAATAATAACTTATTATTCTTCGATAAATAAGTAAATAGAATATATAAATTAAATAATAAAGATAATTTTATAATATCTACTTATCGATAAATATAAAAAAAATTAAAATATTCTACTATTAAAAGTTAAGTATTTTCTAAATATTATAAAAAATACTTTAACTTTTATTATTTCTTTCGAAGTACTTTATAAAGTTAAATTTAGAGATTTTCTAATAAATATAATCTTAAATAAAAATTTAATATCTATAGACTTTATTAAAATTTAAAAAATAATTTATAATAATATTTCTAACGCTATTAAGTTTATATAAACTAAGATAATTATTAGATATAATATTAAATATAGAATCTCTAATTTAATTAATAATATATATTTTAAATTAGCTAAAACTAAAGATATAGATTATTATATCTTTAAGAATTTCTTATTATTTATTAAAAAAGTCGATTTATATAGAATTCTTAAAAAAGATTAATACTTTAATCTATAAGATAAAACTTCTATCTAATATATTTAGAGTTTATTTTATTATAATACTAGCCCTTTCGGCTATCGTATATATATCGCGTATTACTAGAGCTAGTAATTACTAGTTACTATTAGCTATCTATTTTATATATATAAATATTTATATATCTTATAAATTAATAATTAGTCTTTTAGTTATAATTATTTAATTTCTAATATATCTAATATTCTACTTTTAATAGATTATAAGCTCGAAAGCGGGTAGAATAGTATTAAATATTCTTATACTTTCTAATATAAATATTAAACTAAGTCTTCGATAATCTTTTATAAATAGATATATCTTATAGCGATAGCCTATTTTTTTTAGCTCGTATCTATCGACGAGAGAGCTATCGCTATTTAATCCTTATATAAAAAATATCGAATTAAAATTCTTATTTTATCTAAGATCTTAAAATAATACGGGTAAATCATTAAAACTCTTAGATTATTTCGAGGTTCTGAAATAATACGGGCAAACCATCAAAATTCTTATATTATTTCGAGGTCTCGAAACAATACGGGCAAACTATTAAAACCCTTATTTTATTCGAGATCTTGAAACGGGTATTTAAAAGCCTCGGCACTCTTTCTATTTTCTCTATCGAAGTTTTTTATAGATTTAACGAGGTTAGATAAATAATTAATCTCGAATATAAAGTGTGGATTTAGAAATTAATATATATAAGATATAGTATATTAGAATTTAAGAAATCTTAGCTTTTAGAGTTATCGAGAAGTATAATAATATTAATTTCTTCGACTATTATATAATATATCGCGTATTACTAGAGCTAGTAATTATTAGCTATTATTAGTTATCTATTTTATATATATAAATATTCGTATATTTCATAAATTAATAATTAGTCTTTTAATCAATTTCTAATATGTCTAATATCCTACTTTTAACATATTTAATTATTTTAATTATTTATCTAAAGTAGATTAAGTTAAACTCTTTTAATAGAGAGATATTTTTATTTATATCTATAATTATTAAAGAATAAGAGAAGTATATAATAGAGAAGATTATATATTAAAAGAAATGAGGGAAGAAGAATAAATATCGTATACGCTAAAAAGAGTACTTCGAAATTACTTAAAAATCTATTAGTATATTTCGAAAGAATATATTAAAAATAGTCGAGAAATTCGAGAAGTTAAGAATATGAAAATAAGGTTATAAATTCTCGCTTTCTTTTCTATCCTTATAAAATAAGAATAGATTAAAATAAATCTAAATCTTTTTATTATTATACTTCTATCTTTATTTATATAAATATATTTATATCTTATTTTAATTTAATAATATTCTACTCTAATTATATTTTATATTTATTAATATATAAATATTATATATATAAATACTATATATATAAATATTACTATAAAAATAATAACGCTTTCGTTTTTTATTATTAATATAATTTATTAAAAGCTTTATATATAGATATAAGAATATCTCTAAAGAGGAGATTAATTCTTATCTAATTAATTAATCGCGAATTAAAATAAATAATAATTATATTTAGCGTTTTTTTTTTTAAAAAATTTTTTTTTAAAAATTTTTTTAAAAAAAAAAAAAAAAATTTATATTTTTTTTTTTTTTTTTAAAAATAAAAAAAAAAAAAAATATTTTTTTTTTTTTTTAAATTTTTTTTAATTTTTTTTTTTTTTTTTTTTTTTTTTTTAATGTATAAGGCGGAAAGTGGACGATCTATATAAGGAAGGTTAGCCGAGCATACCTGTTCGGAATCTATTCTAAATCTATTAGGCTTCTCGAGTCGCTTTCGAAGTCTATTAGCACCGTATTTTATATAATAATATCTTTAGCTAAATAGTATATTAATACGACGTTAAATAAGATATATTATTAAGATATAATTTTAAAAGATATATTATTAAATATTATTATACTATTTTTATATATATCTCTATTAGCGTATAATATAGAATAGAGAATATATAGTAAGTTAATCGAGGCTAAGCGAGTAGTAATTTATAATAATAGATTTTATCTTTAAATTTAGAGTAATTAATTAAAAGGAAAGATAGAGATTATAACTAGCTTTATATATCTTTCTTAATCTAAGTTATAAGATAATGACGAGACTTATTAGAGGGTTACGTAGATAGATTACGAAGACGAAGATAAAAGTAAATACTATATATACTCTATCTATCTATCTTATCTTCACATTATAATTAATTATCGAAAAACTTATCGATATTATATTACCCTCTTATCTAGTTACTATAGTATATCGATATATTATTAAATTAATATTCTAATTAAAGTTAATATTAGAGAATTATAAGAGCGAGTCTTCTATTTAAAGTTATAGTATTTATTTTATAAAGGCAGAGTAGGTAAAGATATAAATAATATTTTTAGATAGAGTTAAAATGTATAATAATATATACTCCTCTAATATCTATATTATATCTTTTTATATAGAAAAAAGAAATCTAATATCTATAGAAATGTATAGAGAATATTAGAGCTTAAAGATAAGACTTAAATAAGTATAATAGATAAGATTAATAGATAAGATAGATAGATATTAGATATAATTCTATAGTTATAATAGCGAGATAGAATATATTATTACTATAAAGGACTTTCTCGCTATTTAAATATATTATATCGACTAATATAATATTAAATAAATACTCTTTATAATTTTATAGTAGCTAGGATATATTTGATAGTCTTACTCTAAGAATATCTAATAATTATATATCTTATTATATTAATTAGCTTATAATAAATATAATTCTATAATATAATATTAGATAATAAAAGAGAATTAATTAATTTATAAAATACTTTTCGAAAGTAGCTCTTTCTTCGAATTAATATCTTAATTCTATATATATTATAAGCTTACTTTACTAAGTAAATATTATAAAATTTAATTTATCTAAAAGATATCTAAATATATATTTTAAGAAATATCTATTTTATAAAGTAAATATTATATATTATAAATATTATAATATTATATCTTCGTTAAAAATCTAATATTTTTCTAATTTAGTAGAATAGTAAAATATAATAAGATATAATATTTTTATAGAATTATAGTAAGAAAGTAGATAGAGTTATATAGAAGATAAGAGAAATAGAGATTATATATTTTTTAGATTAAGATAGAGCTTATAGTATAAATAGATATATTTATTTCGAAGGCGGAGTCTTTAGAAATAGATAATTAATATTTTTATTCGATTTAATTAAATTAGTAGATTTATATCTAGAATAGTACTTTTTTAATTTAATATATATAAAATCTTTAATATCGATATAATACTTCTTAAACTTCGCTATAATAAAAATTTACGTTAAAAGAAAGTTTCGATTATATTTAGAGTTATATAAGATTTATAAATTTATTATTTAATTTATATAGAGCTTAACTCTTATAGCGAAGTTAATTTATATATTTTAAGATATATTAGAAATAGATATATAGCGAAGAA